GCTTCTCAACTCCATGGAGCCCTCAATTGCCAAACCTCAAAGGAGGTATGGGACTCGATTAAGGAAACTTATTCAGATCTTGAGAACTCTTCTCAAATTTTTGAACTCAAAACCAAGCTGTGGCAATCTAAACAAGGAAATGAGGATATCATTTCATACTACAATGAAATGGTATCTCTGTGGCAAGAATTAGATCAATGTTATGGTGATGAAGAGTGGGAAAGTGCTAAGGATTTTGCTAGACATAAGAAAAGAGAAGAGAATGATAGGGTCTATATGTTTCTAGCAGGGATCAATAGGGACCTAGATGAAGTAAAAGGTAGAATACTGGGAAAGAAACCTCTGGCCTCAATCAGAGAGGTTTTTTCTGAGATCAGGTTGGAAGATAGCAGGAGGAGGGTCATGTACAACACTCCAGTACCTAATGAGGAACCTGGGGACTCTTCAGCTTTAGTGGCCAGAAGTGATGACAAGAAAAAACCCTGGTGTGATCACTGCAAGAAATTGTGGCACACCAGGGAAACATGCTGGAAACTTCATGGAAAGCCACCAGGAGCTGGAAAGACGAAAGTTGAAAGGGCCCTACAAACTACTGTGACCGAGACTCAACAAGAGTCAAGAGTTGACACTAAACAGCTGCCTTTCACAAAGGAACAGATAGAGTACCTACTCCAATTTCTACCTACCCAGAAAATCTCCAACCAAGAAAACCCTTCTTGTTCTTTTGCCCAAAATGGTAAAATTACATCATACTTTTGTTCTGAAAAAACCAAAAGTACTCGGGTCATTGACTCAGGTGCAACAGACCACATGACCTACATTCCAAATCTCTTTTCTTCATATCAACCTTGTGCAGGAGATAAGAAAGTTAGAGTTGCAGATGGATCTTTTTCAGCCATAGCAGGGATGGGAAACATTAAAATTTCCTCATCCATTAACCTTTCTAAAGTCTTACATGTCCCAAAACTTTCCTGCAATCTTATCTCTATTAGCAAATTAACCAAAGACCTTCAGTGTTGTGTAAAATTTTATCCTTCTTATTGCATTTTTCAGGATCTGGCATCGGGGAGGATGATTGGCAGTGCTAGAGAGGAGAATGGCCTATATGCTTTTGATGAAGGAACTGAATTAAATAAACAAGGTCAATGAAAAGCTTGTCTGCAAACTGTTTCCTTTACTTGTAATAATGAAGTGTATTTAATGCACTATAGATTAGGTCACCCTAGTTTTTACTATCTAAAAAGGTTGTTTCCTCAGTTATTTCATAATAAAGATCCTTCATCATTTCATTGTGATATGTGTGCACTTGCCAAACATCATAAGAGCTCTTATATCCCTCATAGTTACAAACCAACTAGTCCTTTTACTCTTGTACACAGTGATATTTGGGGTGCATCTAGAGTTTCAACTCTGAAAGGAAAAAGGTGGTTTGTAACTATCATAGATGATCACACCCGGGTCACATGGGTTTTTTTATTAAAGAAAAATCTAAGGTTGAAGATGTGTTCAAGAAATTTTACTCAACGGTTCAGACTCAATTCAATACCAATATCAAGATTGTGAGAAGTGATAATGGCCTTGAGAGGAAAAATAGGCATTTGCTTGAAGTAACTCGTGCAATTATGTTTTCTACTGGAGTTCCAAAATATTTATGGGGAGAAGCTGTTTTACATGCTACCTATTTAATTAATAGGATGCCATCAAAAACTCTAGGATTTAAAACTCCTATTGATACACTTCAAGCCAGTTTTCCTAACACTAGGCTTATCAACTCTCTTCACATAAAAATTTTTGGCTGCACAGTTTTTGTTACCAACCCTGACAGAACTGCAAGCAAATTTGACCCTAGAGGTAAAAAATGTGTTTTCTTAGAACTATCTTCAACACAAAAAGACTATAAATGTTTTGATCCTACAACAAAAAAGATGTTTGTAACAATGAACACTGTTGTTGTTGAAGATCAATCCTTTTTTAGTACTCATCTTTAGGGGGAGAATTGTAGTGAAGATGGTAACAATGTACCACATATTCATGAAAATCTTGAATTTCTTGACATTAGTCTAGATGCACATCATAGTAGACAGTTAGATGCACTAGAAAATAATCAAGAATCAAAAGAAAATGAAATAAATTTTTCTGAGACAAGGAAAGAAGATGAGCAACAGACAAGTAAATTTTTTGGCAAGGTTTATGAAAGGAGAGTTCCAAATCAAAGAATAGAGAACATATGTGATCCTACAATTTCTCATGAATCTGACTCAATGTCAGAAAATGACAAAGGTAATAATTCCAGTGATCTAAATCTACCAATTGCTCTGAGAAAAGAAAGAAGGTCATGTGTTAAATACCCTATCTCAAACTATGTGTCTTATTCTTAGTTATCTAAATCATTTGTAGCCTTTACCTCTAGCCTTTCCACTGTTTCTATTCCCTTAACCATACAAGAAGCTCTATCTAAACCTGAGTGGAAGAAGGCTGTTTTAGAGGAAATGAATGCTCTTGAAAGGAATCAGACATGGCAGGTTGTGGAATTACCCAAGAACAAACCAACAGTGGGATGCAAATGGGTATTTACCCCTAAATTCAAGGCAGATGGTACACTTGAAAGATATAAGGCCAGATTGGTTGCCAAAGGATATACACAAACCTATGGCATAGATTATACAGAAACTTTTGCTCCAGTTGCAAAATTAAATACTATAAGGATTCTTCTATCTCTAGTTGCTAACCTAGACTGGCCACTACAACAGTTAGATGTGAAGAATGCTTTCTTAAATGGGAAGCTTGAAGAGGAAGTGTACATGAGCCCCCCTCCCGGGTTTGAGGGATAGTATGGCTCAAAGGTGTGCAAGCTGGAGAAAGCCTTATATGGACTTAAACAGTCTCCAAGGGCTTGGTTTGACAGATTTACTCAATTCATAAAGAGGCAGGAATTCAAGCAAGCCCAAGCAGATCATACATTATTTATGAAGTTCTCGAGTAAGGGAGAGATTGCAATTTTAATTGTTTATGTTGATGATATCATTCTTACAGGAGACTATCATAAAGAAATTGAACACCTAAAGAAGAAGTTGGCCCAGGAATTTGAGATCAAAGACCTGGGAGAATTAAAGTACTTTCTTGGCATGGAGATAGCCAGATCAAAGAAGGGAATTGTGGTATCTCATAGGAAGTATGTACTAGATCTTCTCCATGAAACTGGTATGAGTGCCTGCAGACCAATAGATACTCCAATTGATCCTAATCAAAAGTTAGGAGATGTCAGAGAAGGAGTACCAGTTAATGTTCAGCAATATCAAAGATTGGTGGGAAGATTGATTTATCTGGCACATACAAGGCCAGATATTGCCTTTGCAGTTAGTATGGTTAGCCAATTCATGCATAATCCATTCCAGGAACATCTTGATGCTACCTACAGAATCCTAAGGTACTTGAAAAGCTGTCCAGGGAAAGGATTATTTTTTAGAAAGAGTGACAATAGAAGTGTGGAAGCCTTTACAGATGCAGATTATGCTGGCTCAATAATTGATAGAAGGTCTACATCTGGGTATTGTACCTATGTATGGGGGAATCTAGTGACTTGGAGGAGTAAGAAGCAGAATGTGGTTGCTAGAAGTAGTACAAAATATGAATTCAGATCTATGGCTAATGGAATGTGTGAACTACTTTGGATCAAGAGAGTAATTTTAGAGTTGAATATGAAGTTGGATCTACCTATGAAGTTATATTGTGATAATAAGGCAGCCATTAATATTGCTCACAATCCTGTGCTACATGATTGCACTAAACATATTGAAATGGACAGACACTTTATCAAAGAGAAGATTGAAGCTGGAATTGTGTTTGAACTAAAGAACAAACAGCTGATATCTTACAAAGGGACTGTTCAAACTAGTGTTTGAACTACTTATAAGCAAGTTGGGAATGTATGATATATACTTACCAACTTGAGGGGGAGTGTAGAAAAATGTAACATGTATTTGTTATTTTAATTTTATGTACATCCGGAACTGTATAGATAAGTCTTAGAGTAGATAGATCTCTTTAATTAAGTAGATAAGCTCGCAGATTAGATAGATCTTGTTATTTAGGATCTGAAACAACTATGTTGTTATTTGTAATCTGTATATATATCATTGTCGGATGGCTCAATAATATTCAAGGAAGATTAATTTCTCAAACCTACAAATATTTCTCTCTTGAGAATCTGATACTACGTATATAGCAACCAGTTGACCCTAAATTCGACTGCAACAAGTTATATCTCAATTATGTGTGAAACCTCGATTGTTTTTCCTTTCCCAGGTTATGTAATTTCTAATTTCACTAATCAATTGATTACTTCTTCTAATTTTAGTAATTAATTGATTCTTTCTTCTCTACTAGCTAGTTGTGAGCAATCTCACTTTATTTGATGTTCTCGTTAGAGACAGTCATTTGTTAAGCTTAAAAATTTAAGCTTGACAGAATTTTGGAGTACCGGCCTTGTAGAATTTTTCTTTGTGCTCAACAACCAATACTGTAACAACATTATATTTTTTGAGGAGATGATCAATTTGTCCAATAGGATTTTATTGAGTTTTTTTTTTCGAATTAATGTTAATTAATTAATTAATTACGAAAATAATGCTGGGAAAAATGTATTTACCGATCTACTGCCGGATTTAATCATGGTTAGGGAAAGTCGCCCAACGGTTAGGCGACTTATAAGTCGCCATCTGGTTTGGCGACTTATAAGTCGCCCAACTGTTGGGAAACTTACCCCTTGCATCTGAACGAAGACCAGAAGTTACTGCCAGCCACGCACGATCGTGCATCCCAGGGTAGGCACGATCGTGCATACTTCCGAAATGTGCATTTCAGCACCTTTTTAGTTCCGGTTCAGCCCAAACTCATCTGTTTGCTAAAAATAAGGTGTCTCTGTCCTATTTAGGGGTTACAGACCAGATACAACACATTACATACAACACACCTGCTCACAAACACATACATAACACCTGCTCTCAACAACATAAAAAACACTACATCAATAACCAGTAAAACATAGTACAACCATCCAATATTCATAATACATCATACAAGAGTTTAGAGGTGGAAAGACGTAAAATAAAGTCAATTGTGCCTACAATCTAGTGTACAAGAAAAACTCCAATACAAAATACAAACTACAAATTGTCATGGTCATCTTGATCGCTTTGGTCATGGAGATGTTGTTGTTGGTGCCTACGCCTACGCCGTTGTCGTGGTTGAAGAAGCACTCTCTCATGCTGAGCCTGGGATGATGAAGTCGCCGCTGCACTAGACGTCGATGGCATATCCTAAGATGAGGGCATGTGTATAAGATAGTCGTAGTCGACTCGCCCCAACACATCTGAACACAAGGAGGCAATGCCCGTCAGAGCCTGACCGTACATGTCCACGTCCTGCGTATCACTCACTGTGGAAGTAGCCCGCTGATGTATACGCTGCAGAGCTCGTGTCTGAAATATGAAACACAATTACAATTACTTAAAAATAAATAAAAGTATTAAATAAAGAAAATGACTTACTTTAGTAATTAGTAATATACTCACCGTAAGATGCAAAGCCAAGGAGCTAGGCTGGAAATGGTGAGTAGGGAATCTGAACGAAGGAGACACAAACAAACGAGTGATGTCGTAATACCATCCCATGTAGTCTCCTGAAACAGATGGGACAAATGTCAGTGTCCTAGTCACAACTAGCTCAGCTCGCCTGTCCCAGAGAGTGACATATCGGACATGTCTCAGTGCCCAATCCTCTGTATGCTTCCCACGCCTATCCAGCCTATGAAGCTCTACATACCTGTTGATAGGTGCTGGAATGACCTGCTCAAACCCAAACTGTCGCAATACACGATGAGGCAAATGCAGCTCAACAATGTCAAAGCTGCTTCTACCACCTTCATGTCGAATTTGACCACCTTCATCAAATACGTTCCCTCCCCAATGACACACGATTAGGAAGTTTGAGAAATCCATATTCTAATAGCAATACATGTCCAACTTTCATGAGTACACATCAATATACACACTTTATACACATTCAAATTTCAATAAAAAAAGGAATTTTATCAATTCAGTACCCGAAAGATAGATAAATTATCAATTCGGGACCTGAAAGATGAAATGTATCAGTATAGGGCCTGAATGATGGAAAACTATCAATATGGGACCTAACATTTCATAGGTTTTGATTTATTTAATTTTTTTATTAACTCCATTGATAATATTTGATAAAGTTTTCTTCACAAAAGTTTATTAGTTCAATAAAACTAAATAATATTTAAAATTTTCAAAAATAAAAAAATTAATAAAATTCATGATAACTTAGGTCCTAGATTGATAATTTTCAATCATTCGGGTCCTAAATTGATAGTTTTTCATCATCTGAGTCCTATATTGATACATTTCATCTTTCAGGTCCTGGATTGATAATTCATCTATCTTTCGGGTCCTAAATTGCTAAAAATCCTAAAAAAAAACTAGCAACATTCTAATATACCAAAAAGTCTAAATTCACAATCAATTCACATTTCAATATCAAAATACTCAAATTTTGATATCTACATTCAAGTCTACATTTCAATACCCAAATTTAGCTACATTCAAATCTATCCAAATGTCAAAATACACATTAAAATTTACAATCAATTTAATATCAAATTTCAACATTTCATACATATCAACATTTCACAACAAATGAATTCACAAATCAATTCATAATCTAAAAAATCGAAAATTTTAAGATTCAAAACCCTAACTTCAAAATGAGATGAAATGGGGAGATTTAGTTACTTAGGGTGTTGAAGAAGATGGAGATGAAGGATTCTTGGGAAGATGGAGGAGACCAAGCCGGAGCTCGAGATTCGCCGGAGATGGGTTGCTGGTGGCTTCGTTCGACGCTGCTGCTGCTGCTTCGTTCATCCGTTGCTGCTCTTTTCAATTTGGGGGAGATGAGTTCTTTCTGGCAGAACCAACCCCGTTTTTTAATTAAGGGGTAAGTCGCCAAACGGTTTGGCGACTGATAAGTCGCCCAACCAGTTGGCGACTTATAAGTCGCCCAACCGTTTGGCGACTTACCCCGACCATGGTTAACTCAACAGTATATTGGTAAATACTTTTAACTCAATCCTATTTTCGTAATTATTTAATTAATTAACATTAATATGGAAAAAAACTCGATGTCATTGGTTAGAATGTTAGATAGTCTAATACTTTCTTGTCCTTGTCCGTTCTCAACTTCAATATTGTTTCATCTTTTAAGTCTATTAATTGAAAATTTTCCTGAAGATAGATTTGCACTTCTTCATTCTCCTCCTTTCACTGGGCTATCTGCATGGGGGGATTCAATTAGGGGTACCCTATTATAAACAGGTCCTTACTTGTTCAATCATGAGAGGGTACCCTATTATTGAATTATGATAGGGGTACAGTTAACATACATGATCATCTACTATCAGGCTTTGGATGTCTGGCTCGGTTAGGATCGAGGTAATAAAGATATAAAATATATGCATATGCGTGTGTATTTGCACACAACATTTTAAGATTTTAATTTATAGCTAGGTTCAGAAATTATTTTTATTTGTAAATTAAATGCTAATCGCGTTTACATACTAAAGGTGCAGGTTTTTGTTATACGGCTAGTGGGATAGGCTCTGGGTAGAGCATTCTTTGGATATCCCCCTACTTGGTTACATCTCTATACTGCCTTTCTGTTTTATCTCTCAATCTACTGCACTCATCCATCCACCAATGTGAGAATGAGAACCCCCACTATCTCTTTCTGGCTTGCATGACTAGTAGAGATGTTCCCAGCCTTCGTTTTTGTCTTGTATTTAAAAGGCATGTGTTTTTTGCTTCACTGATCATGTATTATATATCTATAGAAACGTCAAAAGCATCACTTAAAATCCAACTATACACACACACACGCAAACTCCCCACATATTCTATCTAATAAAGGTTGATTTCTGCTTTCAGTAGACTCTTACAGAGATTTTGAATATGGGGTTAACCCGTTAAAGAACAGTATTCTTGTATCGCCCCCTTGAATAAAAAAGAGAATGCCATCCCTCCTGAGAGTACATGTTTTTTTGCTACCACACACTGCATTTCTTTCTTAAAATAGAGAAGAAAAGAACGGCTTGTATGGGAGGAAGGTAGTAGTTTTTTGTACACGTAGGATGGGTTTTATTGATCACACTTTAAACATGTTCTCATTGGTTTTTAACTGGGAAAGAGAGCAACTACATCACTATACAACATTACAACTAGTAGATAGTTTCACTGTACAGCACTTTCTAAATGAACAATTTCCTTTGACTTTAAGTAGCTGCCCAACCAGCCCTCTATATGTTTTACTTCAGAGGCTCTTTGCTCCACCAGCCAATCCGGATCCTCAGCCATTGCTGCACGCAAATCTAAGTGATGGGCACCTAAGACGAAATGGGTCAGGGTTCATCAATCCATAGCAATATTGTCCAACAATGATTACGAAAGATGTCAATCAGCGGTTTAAACTTAAACCAAATATCATCTCCAAATTCTCTAATGTGATCAAGCCAACAAAGAGAAACGAAATGGAGTTACCTTTTTCAGTAACAAGAGCAACAATAGTTTCTGATATGTTCTCTAAGACGCTGCAAAACATGATTATTTCCATAAAACTTAGCAGCTAGACTTGACGAACCCTAAACAGTAATTTAACGAGCTGAAAATTTACCCGCCACCACTCCATGGATCTAAGAGACCATTTGAAAAAATGATGTTACTCCCAAATGTCCCGAGAGCCGTTTTTATGTCCTTCAAACAAGAAAAATGTTGGTCCCAGTTTAGTAGACTAACGATCAGCTAGATGAACATCATCGATAGACAGAAGAGAAGGATTTCATATAATGATATAAGATTTATCGAGAACAGTGAAACCTTCTTTCTGTAGTATCGAGAAGTAAATTTGGCAACGTAAGGCTAATGTGTATTGATCGATATCGGTACCTGTACACAAGGCGCGTATTTATAGGCGCTGTACAGGTTACCGATTTAGGTAAACCTTGGAAGTTGGGCCAAGGCCTTTTTTGGGCCTTATTCCCTTTACCTTATTTGCTACATAATAAATACTAATCTAATACCATAAATGGTATAACTAGTCTACTTTATTTAAACAAGACATTACAGACAAACTTGACCCACAATAAAAGTTCTAACAATCTCCCCCTTTGTGGTCAAGTGCCGTCTTGCTGGGTTTCTTCACTTCTGAGCTTTGTAATAGTTCTTTCTGAGATTAAGTGCGTGCTCATAGTTCCTGAGTGAATTTCGTTTATCAAGTTGTTTCTGGATAGCCTGTAGAATTTTGTCTATTCTGTGTGCTTCCTTTAATTCGGCATCTGTCGCATCTGCATACTGTTGTTGTCTTTCTTTGAATGCTTCTCTGATCGGTTGCAGCTTTTCTTTCACAATCTTCAGGGTTCCGTCACAGTACTTGTTGATTTCATCAATGAATAGCATACGTTTCTCACCATTATGATTTAGATAGATAAGCGTGATTGGTCTATCAAAAATGTAATACTCAGGGAAGTCCTCAAGTTCTTGTCCATACAGCTTTGGCTTTGTGAGATTTGTCTTTGGCATGTTTGTTTCAAGCGCCATCTGAAGATCATGAGAGGCAAAGAATTTGATTTGTCTGAGCATAAAGCGCTTGAGTGCATCCAGCCCATTTTGTGTAGTTGTGTCACGAGTGCCCGGAATTTCTTGAAATGCAAGATACATCTGATATATGTCATCCATTTTTAGCATATAGAGATCATTTTCCTTGCACGTGAATTCTGTTCCGTCAGACCGTTGTAGATGGTAGACAGAGAGTTTGATGTCTTGGGAGTTTGTTTCACCCACGTTGAGAATAGCCCAGACTGGGTCTTTGGCAGTTTGAAGTTCGTGTTGCCAGACTTCTCTCTGTTGTCCCATATAGTGATGACTGAGTAGAAATAGTTGTCCGCCCTTGTTTTGTCCTCGTAGATGGTTAAGACCACAGATCTTCAGTTCATCCAATTCTCTGACCTTGTCCTCTTTTCGCCAGATGTTTTCTCTGATTTCTTCTTGAAAGGGGGCGTTGATGTCGATCCTTTCCCAGGGCTTCTCATTTCTGGGCATTTGAGCCGCTGTTTGTCTAATGATTGACTCAAGCTCCTTGGGTGGTGTCTCGTAGTTTTCTCCCTCCTTGAGTTCGTTTCGATCAAGTAGAATCACGTCAGTGGCGCAGTTGACTAAGAGATCTCTGAGGTATGTTCTTCGCTGTGCTTCATCTACATCTGTCCAGAGTTCAGACCATTTGTTATGCACCAGCATTTCCTCAAGTTCATCGTGCATTTGATCATTGTAGTAGCTGGAGGAGGCCTGTTGCTGCTGTGGAGACACGTCTGGCGTAGCATCGGGATCCTGGTGAGACTTGCAGGGATCCTCAATTATCTCAACACGATGCTCTTGCGCAGAGACCAGACCTCTATACTTTGTTACATGCGGCCAATCCTCCCTTGGTTGAGACTGGGTGACTCCGGGATCCTCAGGTTGCCCGTTGACATCAGTTTCGAACTAGGTTCTAGCTGATGGCCTGAGTAAGAAGATGTACTCGTGGTAGCATCATCAGGACTTCCATTCCGTCCTTGGTTAACATCTATAGGAGATGCACCTCGGGATGTTATGTCTAGCTCGACCATGCTAGAGAGAGTGGCTAGGGATTTATGGCTAGCTGAAGTAGTGGGTTGCTCATTGGTAGAGGTAGATGGTTGGTTTGGCTTTGACGGTTGGCTAGTAGAAGCAACATGCTCAAGTATCCGCTGGCGCTTGTTCTCCCCCTCATGAGAATCCGAATCATCAGGATCCTCATGTGAACGTTTAGCGCCACGAAGACTGTCACGGCAAGTGTTCTGTGTATCTAGAGCATGGAGAAGGGCTTTTTGAAGAGGGGTGAGGTTGCCTTCTTCCAC